TTCCAGTCTATATTACTCGCGAAATACAAGATCTTACTGTTCTTCATATGTATTACATCTTCGACACGCACACTGAAACACACCGACACAAGTGGGCTGTGTGTGTTTCACCGAGGTGTTGTTGCTATTTGCCACTGATGAGAGTGATCAGAAGCTCCACCAAGCCAACATGAATCGTAGAGTCGAGAAGTTGGTGCTCAGAGGTCGCATTATCAATATCCATGATAATGGTCTCTCTATATGGGGTATCACACATGAAGTTGGCCTGGCCCTCACAACTGTGATGAAGTGGGTAAGATGGGAGGAGAGCGGTAACCTTAACGACTTAGTTAAGTTATAACTGTGTCGGCAAAGAAGCGGACCATAGCAGCATTGATGAATGAAGGATAGAGAATGAGAGACCTGCACCATATTCAAAGTTTAGGTAAAGACTCGGAAAAGCTCGACCACGGAACTTCATATTAATATTTATATAGGTAGAGGAATCTTAACCTAAGTTTATTAACAGCCAAATTCAGCATCACTATTTGTGGGTAGATATGTATGGGTAAAGATAAATTTTGCTATTATTCAAATTGGTGATCTATCTGGAAATAATAATCACTGCTGTAACCTTCTTCTCATATTGAAACTATTGTGTAGATTATGGAAGCTGGCATATAATTTCTTACCATGTTTATATTTGAAATGTAAATTTACATTTTAGGTAACTTAGAGTATCAAAATCATTCTGAATATGGGTGTTCTCTTCTGTAGGTAGGAGAGCAGGAGCCCCTCAGAGGACCACCCCAGCAGATGACGCTGCAATTATCGCTCGGCCGAGGCAACCCCCCTAACCAACGTGGTGGCCATAAGAGACAACCTGCATTTGGACGTACCCGCACCCTCACTTGGCTGGCTCTAAGGTCTTGCCTATTATAGATAACCACACCCCTCTTGCAAATTTCTTGGGAAAGGTTCGTAAGTGAGTCATATCAATCATGTTGAACTCACATTCCTCCAGTTCGATTCACTTGTTTTTGTTCAACAGTTCTACAACACCTACTATATCAGGTTGATGTACCCTTAGTAGTGTTACAAACTCCACTTTCTTGTTGAGGAACGTGTCAGTATTAGTGTACACGACTTTCAAGCCGGAAATGTCTCTGGCCTTAGTATCGACTCCAGCCCCTCTCCATTCTCAGCAGCTGCCTCGTATACTGTATCCCTTGTGGTTTGCGGGGTGTGGTCAGAGATGACATTGTTTACATGGCGCTCGCCACCTCCTGGGTGGGAGGTAGAACAGATGGCGGGTGTCCCTCTGCCCCCTGGTTCTGTGCTGGCGCTCTTGCTTCCACTACCCTCCTATTGTATATAACCAAAGCACATCCATCCCCACTCCTCATCGACTCCTCCCTCCTCTGCTTCAAGGACTCCAGGAGATTTTATGCTGTTCCCTCTGCATTACCGTGCGATCTGGGTTTATGAATATACCCCGAAATGTATCGTCTCTTGCTAAGTTTTTTGCATGCTGAATAACTTCTCATTTCTTATCCTGAGGGGGCAGAGCTTGTCCTCCTGCCTTTGTCCTAGCCTCCTCATGTCCTGAGTGGGAGCTAATAATTTCATAGCCTCATCACAAATATTCTGAAATTTCAACTTGTCATGTGTTTTCCTAGTTTCAGCTTCTTCCGACTGGCTCTCGGGCACTCCAAACACTATTATGATGTACCTACACTCTGAAAATTCCGATTTCTCCTCTTCTCCCATATCAGTAGGTCTACTAGTTGTCAACTCATCAACACACTTCTGCAGAGTCCCTAGCTGCCAGAGGACCTGTTCAGATCCTGCATTACTCTCTGTCACCTTCTGTGACCCTGCTACAACCTGAGCATTGCTCTTCTTAACTACGGTACTTACTCAGCTCTGTCGCCTACTTCCTCAGTCTTAGTGCAGATCTCTTTCCCAACCTGCTCCAGCTTGGCAACCAACAGATTTGGCTTCCTCTATTTTTGTCTCCAAGTATCTCATTCCCCTATGATCTTCAAACATCTCATTTACTTTGATTTTGCAGTTAGAGCAATACCAGCAACAGCCTTCATGCTTTACTGCATTCAGCACCATCCTAAAGGTATGGCCGAAAGCTGCATAATGTCTCATCAGACTTTACCCTGCAGTTTTTGCATATCAACAAACTTCCTGGTGATGCTAGGGTTTAGCCTGTGATTCCTTATGCGTATTCATGTCTTGTCACAAACTTTCCTCTTCCTTTTATGTACATTACACCTGTGGGACACCGGTGCTTGACAGCTGTCAAGGGGGGGGTGCAGATTATAAAATCTTGTTTGGCTTAAGCCCAGTTTACAATGTGTAATAATTCTAATCATCTGCCTGATGATAATGATAATAATCTTCATTATCACTATGATATTGTGTGGCTCTAGCATTTCAGCAAAGATGAAAATAATAACTGACACAACTAAGTGTGGAATAAATCTTCAACTCAATTTCCATGCACAGTAATCACCACAACGCATCTTAGTTTCAGTCTTGGGGCAAAAAATGATGATTTCATCCTAAAATCAGATTTAGTAATGATACAGTCAAGGTGGAGGGTGTCAAGTCTGCCCCCACCCTTACTGGACCGTGGGTCGCTGTCCAGCCATCACCTCCACCACACAAACACTTCAACAATCGAGCTCTGATACTTCCATTTCTCACAAAGTTTTACATTATTTGACATAATAGGTTAGATCACTGTTAGATAATCATTACATAATCTTTACAATACAGAAGACACAGTTGCAAGAGTGTGTCTTGGTGGCTGGGGTTTGCAAGATATCAGAATCCTTCAAGCTGTATTTTCCCTCAGAATAGTAGTCAGCATACAAGTAGTATTAATGTGAGGGATAATATGGTTCATAAGAGAATGCTTTATCCCCCCCCATGATAATGGCCATATCATAGGGTCTACCACAAGTAACCATGGTTTGATCCCTACAGTGAATAACATGATGGGAGTATAGGCGACACATGAGCGACACGATTAATATAAAAAAGTGTCAGAACTGGAAGTAAGTCACAACACCATTGATTAAGGGTTGACGGAAAAATAAGGTAAAAGCAGCATGCCCATATTTTATTAATAGTTATACAGCATGCCCTTCAAATTCGCAGGGGCTAGGTTTTCAAAATGACCACGAAATCAACAAATAACATTTGCTGACCGTGGAGGAGGAGGAGGAGGGGTTACATTTTTACTTGTGTACAAAGAAATGTATATTCCCTTTATGTGTTTACCTTTAGGACAATTATTTCTTTTACCTGTATTGTACAGTATATATATATATGTGTGTGTGTGTGTGTTGTAATGGTCATTATAAGAGCTAACTGGAAAACCTTAAGGATTCATATTACGCTCAAACGTCCACAAAACCTTCTGAGTCCCCCAGTGGAAACGTCCCCCGTTTTCTCTGTTTCCCTCGTCTTTGTCTATGGGAGCTTGGAATATAATCCACGGATTCAGTAGCAGACGCTGTATGCTGGGACCTGTTGCCATCCAACCCTTTGTAGTCAATTTAATTTTGCTTTTGATAGCCGAGTCAGAGCATTGTTAGTGAAGATAATAGTAGAGAATGAAAATGAGTTCATAGTCTCAATTTCAACGTCAGAGTGTACAGTAAATTAATTCAACGGAATAGGAGTAGGTGGACTCCCTGGCCTAGTTTGAGTGAGGGCGCCGCGGGCATTTCTACCGTTAGTAAGTGCCCGTCCCTTCATCCATACAGGTATGCCATTCCACTCTGTGTTGTAATTCGCCCTTCTTTAAGTGATTTGACCCAATTAATAGTTGCTTGTGCAAGCGTTACAGTAACGTAGTTGATATGCTCTGAGTGAAGTCATATTTACGTCTTTAACGTCCCCTGAAACGTGATGTTGTTGTCACCGGTTAGTAAGTGCCCGTCCCTTCATCCATACAGGTCCCTAACGCAGCCTAGGCCGTGTCTGTAGCGTGGATGTTGTATCCACTATGTCTGGGGAGATGTCCGAGGTCCAGTAGGATCAGTTACCTTCGTGAGACCCGGCCGTCAGACACTTCAGACTACCTATAGCCCCCATAGCTGGCTCGTCTGGCCCTAACGCTCGGTCCACGAGGTGACGCCGGATCACCAAGCCACACACCACTACCAGCCCCCATCATTGGTGGATGAGTGTCTAACTCAGTAGGGCTATTTGTGTGGTGGAATTAATCCACTGGGATCTCCAGAGTTCGTCGAATAGTACTCCATGATGGCTGGACCCCATGGCTGTTGCTTGAGTATCACACCTGACGACTGAGTGTTGTAGTGGCAGTTGCCCTAGTATTTATGGTGCTAAATGACTATAATAGTTGTGTTCTTGAGTATGTCCACCCAGTAGGGTTGGAAGTGTTATTGAATATGTCCACCCAGTAATGGTGTGAGTATGTTGAGCCTGAGGGCCTAGTACTAGATTTCGTCTGTTAGTACAAACCAATTCTTTCTTCTAATTTCATATTCATGTTTAAATAAACTTTGTATTTGTATAATTGTGTCTATTATTTACCTACAGTATTTACCGTTATTTCTTCCCTATTGCTTGATACTATCATTACACCTACCCACGAGCCTCCTATCGTCACGCTACCAATGGTGATAAGTATAAGAGTAAAAGGAATTGTTACTGGCACACAGAGGCCCTCATAAATGGTGGCAGTTCAGGCCCTCTTAGTGTGTGTGTGTGTGTGTGTGCACACACACACACACACACACACACAAATAAATAATAATGGGAAAATACTCTCACAAATAATCAGAAACAAATTTATTAAAAATGTGAGTCTACTCCGTGCTTTATTAATAACAAAGCACGGAGTAGACTTGAGGGTAGACTGTCGCATTTTTAATAAATTTGTTTCTGATTATTTGTGAGAGTATTTTCCCATTATTATTTATTTGTGTGCGTGTGTGTGTACACACACACACACATATATATATACAATACAGGTAAAGTAAATTACTGTCTCTAGAATGAATGGCTCCCTCTCCCAGGCGCAAAAATGCTGGCAACTTTAAACTACCCACAGACATTCTTGGGTACATTCAGGGTAGCATCAGCGAATAATAAAGGATCTCGAAATAAAAATCCGCAAATTATCTGGGCATACTGCACTCGTATAGTTAACCATAAATATTGCCTAGTTAATGTTATATACACTCAGTATCTCAGTACGTATATATTTAGTTCAAAAAGGTAAAACAATGATTCAAACACTCTAGTCTTTAGATTATAATAACTATGCATAATATATGTTGTCACGAGAAATATCCATTCAGTAGCAAGTGCAGCCGCCCTGGTTTTCAGTGACGGCCTGTAGCCTGTCCGGTATGGATGCCAGCTCCAGTCTACCCCTGCAGTATTCCCACTGTCTGTTGATGTGTACCATGATGTCAAACAATGTAAAACTTGACTGGATAAATTGTTTCGTGAATTTATTTAACAAAACAATGATTTCCTTTCCCAGTCCTTATAGAGAAATGGAAGTATCAGAGCTTGATTTTTTAACTGCTTGGGCTACTTGTTTGTGTGTTGAAGACGTTGACCGGACAGCGACCAGTGAGGCAACTGCTTGAAATTTGTTGCTAGATTTTGAAAATTTTACCCCAACCGTGAAAGCGTTAAAGAAATTTTTAAAAACCTCCCATACATCGAAAAAATCTATACATTTGTTCAAATTTTTTTTTATAAATTTTCTGTTTTTATAATTAAGAACCATAGTTAACTTAGATATGACAATGTTCTTTCAGCACTTAGTTTGGAAATAAATTTGGCACCCCCGGGCCCATGATTCGCCAATTTCGCACCTCTAAGCAGCATGAAACTTTTCTCTTATTTTGAAAGGAATACTAAATATAGTTTTTTAGGTGCTGCAGTGTACTTAGTAAGCTCCACAAAATTATTACTACAGCACAACAGGTCTACTTGTCTAGATACTGTTAAGCAAAAGCTCTGTTTTGATATACGTATTCAGATAGAACTTTAGTTTAGTCTCGTCTCAAACCATCTATTGAATAAACTTCATTTTCTTTTATAATGCAGACACCAAGTGATTATTTTCATTTGATTATCCATTATTTTTGTGAATATTTTATATACTGTACAAGTATTTGTACATTTTGTATAATTGTAGTGATTAAAATTAAAACACTTGTAATTGGATATAATTTTGTCATACCTCAAAAAAAAATTGCGATCTGGAAAGATTCAGACATGAATCTGGTAAGCATTTTTTTTTTTCACGAGTGGCAGCACTGACAACACGCCGCCGTCCAGTAAGGGTGGGGTTGACTTTGCACCATCCACCTTGACTGTATCAAGAACTTTCATCCGAGACTGTACAGTATTGATAACCCCTAATATACAAATGGATTATATATTTAGAATCCATTAAAAAATTATGCGTATCCTACAGACTCCTGTTATATACAGTAGAGTAGAAAAATAATAATAAAATGACACTGGTCATGTTTTAAATTACATTGTGAGAAAAAATAATTTCAAGCAAATGATAATTACTATAATGAAAGTGAATTACAGTAAAGAAGATTATTTCATAATAATTAAAAATGTATTAAACCATACAGTACAGTACTTACAATAAACTGGGGTTGGGTAACATTGCTTGAATGTCTGGATCAAATTTATTTTCATAAGGATCACCATCACCATTTCCTTTGTCAGTACAGTATCATCCTGTGTTGGTCCTATCATCCCTTCACCATCACTTAGTTCATGCACTTGAGATATTTTTATCATTTAGCCTGCATGTATTTTAGGGTACAGTACTTATGAAAAATAAATAAATTTTATCAGTCCGTAATTTAGTCATATCAAGAGCTAAAAAAAATAATAATTTACTTTACCTTCTATCAGTTTGTCAGGCAGTCAAACTTTAGAAACAAACATGAGGTTTCCTTTATTTAATACCTTTGATTAACAATTACTGATAGTCTTTTTTCTCAAAACTCTGGGATTTTTTTTTTTTTTTACTTAAGTGGTGAAAAGATTTTCATTGGGTGATGAGGTTGGGATGTTTTCTGGATCCACTCCCGCTGAGGGATTAGTCTGGGGAGCTTGGTCAATATCTTCATATGGGCTCCGTCGGGGACCACCTGAAATCACAGAAGAATGGAAATTAACAGTGGAATGCAAAATACTGTATGGGTATTCACTGAAATTAAATACAGTAACACATAATATTTAAGTAATGAATTTCAATCTAACCCTATCTAATATGCCATATACTGTAGTCAGAGCCGTCCTTAGGGTATGGCAACCGGTGTGACCGCCCCAGGCCCCGCGGCCCTTACCTCACCCAACACCAGAATTAGTGACCGCGTTAAGCTGATCTCACCTTATTACCCAGATTCAGGAAACCACCTGAAGGATTAGTGACCAGCACAGTTAGGCAATGCATCTACTGACATAAGGTCAAAGGTAAGATTAAGCCACCCAATCTCACCACCCAGACTGAGAACAATGTCATTCTTTACTGTGCTCTCTGTCGAAGAGGAGTGAGGACGATGACAGAGGTCACCTGTCAGTGTTGTCGAAACTCTGAACCTCCAGTTGTCCGTGATTTGTGTTTTGTGAAATCGTTGATATACATTATTTTACTATCGTACACAGCCCTCGTTTTTTATTATACCATGGCCAGCAGGGAGAGAGACAGACACAGAAAAAACATCTCGGGAGCAGAGAAAAGGATGAAAAAAAGGAAGAGAGAAGAAGTTGAAATGTCAATGAAAGGTTCACTAGAAAAATATGTGTCTTCAAAAACAGCAGAAAAGGACCTGAGCGACTGTGGTGGTGATAGTGTGGGTCATATTCAAGCTGAGGAAGAGGAGAGTACTGAAAAAACATACTAAGGCTTTTAAAATGGACAGTTCTACCTATGCTAACAGGCATGCTGATAAAGATCTATGTGATCCAGCCAACTGGCCACAATTACTGGACACTACGACAAATGATATTTTGGTAGTAAAGAGACCTCTTAAGGTACAGTATTACCCCGCTTTGCACGGTTTCACTTTCCGCGATTTCTCATTTACGCGGTACCTCACCAGAACCGGGCTTTCACTTTCCACGGTGCATCTACTCACATACGCATGAAGTATAATTTTTTTTTTTTATTTAGCTCATAAATTTCATACAAATTACCCGGCCAGAATATAATTTTCATTGCTGGAATTCTTACAGTATGATGATCATTTTGAATATAAACATCATGGGTTTTGCATTAGACATAAAAATTTTAGATCTAATGTAATAATTTGGTTTACACAAAGCAAGTATTTTATCTTTTGTGCAAAATATATGAAGTTTACATTCAAAATATTCCCTGACCTGCAAGGAATCCAGAAATGTCAATTATATTATCCTAACTTTAGTCTGAGTTATTATTTATTACTAAAAATGTAAATTACTATTTTCTCCCAAAGCTTCTCTGGTAGGGAGGGAAGGTGGGGGGTGGGGGGGGAGGGAGGGAGGGACCGACCCAGCTAGGGCCAGTATTTTGATTGACATAGAGTGTCCTTGAAGAATATTTCTTTGTTTATTTAATGAAGATATATGTTTCAGCTCATAAAATTCATACAAATTACCCGGCCAGAATATAATTTACATTACTGGAATTCTTACAATATGATGATCATTTTGAATATAAACATCAAGGATTTTGCATTAAACATACAAATTTTAAATCTAATGTAATAATTTGGTTTACACACAGCAAGTATTTTATCTTTTGTGCAAAATATATGAAGTTTACATTCAAAATATTCCCTGACCTGCAAGGAATCCATAAATGTCAATTATATTATCCTAACTTTAGTCTGAGGTATTATTTATTACTAAACGTTAAAATCTAGTGTTTTCACCCAAACATTTCTCAGAGAGGTAGGAGCCATTGAGCTGGGAAGAGGGGGTGGGAGTTGAGTCCATTATTTGAATGGACATTAACCTGGCAACTGTATTTCTCTTAAATATTAATTGTGTGCATACCATCATAAAATTAAGATGTTATTTTTACAACATAGGTATTGTGTCGGAAAAAGTGGAGTTTGGGGGTCGGGCCAGTCTCTAGTGGAATTAATCCCATATGTTCTGTTGTTCACTTTACGTGGTTTTCACTTTCCGCGGTACCCCGTGGGTTCAATTGACCGCGTAAATCGGGGTACTACTGTATGTATGTATGTATATGTATATGTATGTATGTATATGTATGTATGTATGTATATGTATATGTATGTATGTATGTATATATGTATATATATATATATATATATATATATATATATATATATATATATATATATATATATATATATATATATATATATATATATATATATATATATATATATATATATATATATATATATATATATATATATATATATGTATGTATATATATGTATATGTATATATATATATATATATATATATATATATATATATATATATATATATATATATATATATATATATATATATATATATATATATATATATATATATATATATGTGTAAAACCAACCAAATATACCCTCAAAACCTGAGGGTAAACCGAAGCTCCCATAGGATCCAGCTCGATCCTGAACAATTCTGTAGAGTAAGAAGCTCGTCAATGGTCGCAGCAACAAGTTCAGGATGGCCATGGCTGCTCCAAAGCGCTTCATTCCACCTGAAATAAATACAAAATTTCTGTAAAAATCTTTTTTCTTTTCTGGACAAATTATAGTTTCACTATCAATATACTCAAGAAAATAAAAATTTGAAAACTATTTTTTCTATATGAAGGATTACTAACCTAAAATTTTAATTATCAAATTACTACTTAGTTCCTGTATGCACCCTGTCCAGGGCCACTATGAAATGCATTTTATCTAAACTAGAATTATTCATGAAGTAGCAAACTAGAAAACCACTAACAAACCAAAAATTCTAAATAAATCTTATTAAATAGTTCCGCCTTCATAAATTAATCCTATTAGCAAATGCCCGTTAAGCACAAACTGGTGAAACATGTTTTAAGTCAGTCTACTTAAAATAGAATGACTTATCAATATATTCTAAAAATGTGCTCATGGTAATACAGTAATGACCTTCATCCTTGAGTTGCAGAAAAATTGTAGACTAGTTTATGAAAACTCTAATTTTGAAAAATATTCTGCCCCTCTCTCTCTAAAAATTATTTAACTCAAATGTGATGCCACAACTGTGGTCCATTTAACTCATACATGATATTTACATGTAATGCCTCATTACCCCAGGGAACTCCCCTTAAGGCGCAGCCACAACAAAATACAGTACACCTTCTTTCAATTTTACGGAATCCGATATAATGAACTCTCTATTTAGAGAAAAGCATTTTTCGTTATTTTTCACTCGATTTACTGACCTAGTTTGCTAAATCGAGATTAATTCCTTTAAATTTGCTCACACCTACGGAGACACCTCAGACACATGACATAGTAAAACCTACTTCAGCCTACGGTGACTGTACAGTAAGATCTCATATTTTGCGCGATTTCAGTTTGCATTTTTTAATTTCGCGAGCACTACCTAATGTAACCAAGTCTTATATTTTGTGTAAAATATCGTGACTTTCGCGAGATCCAGCAACCTGAATGCTGGCCACCGTCTTGAATGACGTCACAGCCCTCATACCAGTTACAATCATTTCTGCTACAACGCGTGTTTTGTCAAAGTGAATTGGTTGCAACGCGATTGATGAATAGGGGAACGCTGTTCGTAAAACGCAAAATTTTGCATAAGAATGTTGGCTGGAAGGATTTCAACATTGCCAAATGCATCAGTTTTGTGAAGGAGGCCATGGATGCACTGAAACCAGAGACGGTTAATTCGTGTTGGTGAACACTGTGGAGTGACTGTGTACGTGACTTCAAAGGATTCCCTACGATCGACTCTGAAGTTAAGCACATCATGACGGTGGCCAGGGCTGTAGGCGGGGATGGGTTTGAAGACATGGTCGAGCAGGAAATTGAGGAGTTAATTGAAGGGCACAGGGAAACTCTGACTGATGGTGAGTTGGAGGAAATAGTGAGAGCGGACGAAGAAGACGGCGACAATGATGAAGAACAAGAAGAGCCAGCATGTTGGGACATACACAAGTTTAGTGAAGTGTTTCAGGTGGCCGAGCACTTGAAAAACTTAATGTCTGAGTATGGCCCCTCTATGGAGCGCAGCATCAACTTCTCAAGAGGTCTTACAAGCCTTATGGCTCAGTGTAAGAATATGTTCCACCAGGTTAGACAACGACAGCTTCCCATCACCATGTTCTTTAAGAAAACCTCAGCATCAACATACACCCTCCACTTCTGGCAGTGACCTTGGGCTGCCCACATCCTCCCCTGCATCGTTATCTGACCTTGATGATCCCCCCACGGTGACGTGGGAAGTGGATGAATAATCTAAAAACAACACATGTCTGTGTTCTATTAATGCTGCTATGCACTTGTTACAGATGTTGATATTACATTACAGTAGTGATTTATGCGTTCTAGTGTACATGTACGTATATATATATATATATATTTTTTTTTTTTTACGGGGATTAGCCCACCCGGGCACAGGTCACTGACCTACATCAGGGCCCGGGGGCGAAAATTTAATAATAATAATAATTCATAGTAAATAAAATTTATAATAAAAAGTAAAATAAAATATTAATGATAATAATAATAATAACAACACTGATAATAATAAATATAAAGAAATGCAAGAATGAAAAAAAATCAACAGTGAGAAACGCTATATGTGTACAGTCAACCCTCACTTTACGCGGTCCCACATTCCGCGTTTCCACGTTTACGCAGTGCCCTGCCGGAACCCAGGATGCTCACATTCCGCGGTGCGTGTACCCCTTTACGCGGAGAGCGGCTGGCGAGCCGCGCCATTTTTGGATCCAAACCTCCCGCCCTCTCCCGCCATCCGCCATGTTGTGTAAGCGGAGCGAGCATGGCGCGCACAAGGTCGCCCAGTCATCAAAACATTACCGAGTTCTTCACCCGCCACCCACCACAGCCGGCCCAAGTCAGTGATAGTGATAATTATAGTGAGGATATGGACTTATATGGACTTTGAGGGGTTTGACAAAGAGGCCCTGCAAGCCTCTGTGGTGGATAGTGATACAATTGATACAAGTGATACAGGTGAGGGACAATAATCTACCCTCTGCCTCGGAACCAACCGCCCATCCCCGTGTGCCCAGCCATCTTTTCTACTAATGTAAGTGTTAAAAAACCTAATATTATTGATATTTCTCTTAATTATTAATTGTGTGTGTATACCATCATAAAGTTAAGATAATATTTTTACTACAACATAGTTGTGTGTCGTCAAAAAGTGGAGTTTGGGGGTCGGCCAGGTCTCTATTTCAATTAATCCCATAAGTTATGTTGTTCACTTTACGCGTTTCTCACTTTCCGCGGTACCCTGTGGGTTATATTAACCGCATAAAGTGAGGGTTGACTGTATGTTGTTTTGTCATGTAATAGAAACAATCGAGACCCTACAGTTGTGTGTAAATGAGGCAGAAAGTCAGATCAGCAACCTGGGGCTTGGTCACAATTTTCGTGATGCCATATGGCAGCAGGGTCTACCATTAGACAACACATTATGCTGCCAATATCTTCCCAGGCGGTAGTACCTCCCTGTTCGGTAGCTGCCTACTACCTAAAAGTGATTTAAGGGTGATTTAGGGTATTTTTACGAGTGTTTCTGACTTCACGCGTTTTTTTGGTTTTATGCTGGGTCCCAGGAACGTAACCCCCTCGTAAGTTATGAGTCTAATGTACTCTGTATTAGAGAAAACAGTTTTAGTAGGGCAGACTATAATATCCTGAGTGATATAAGTTGCATGTTTATTTACACACTCACACTTGAATTATATGAAGAGAAGACTATACATTTTTTTTAATTTATGAATTTGTATTACAAAACTCATTCCATATATACATCAACACCATGTCTGAAACATTTATAATTTCTAACCCAAAATAATATGGAAGAAAAAAAGATAATCTTGGTAGCCATGGCCATAAGTTGAAAATCAGAAAACTACTAGATAAGGTATTATTGCATTTGTTGCCACCAACCAAATCTCAGGAATTTTATCTTTGGAAACAACAGCTTACACTTTTCTTCTACGACATTTCCCTCACAAATAACCTAGAACAAAATTGGGCCAGAGGAAAGGTGCCACTAGCCAGCTTTCACAGCTCAAGAGAACCATTTAGTCATATCCCTCCCTGATGACTCTCCCAGTAAGGGAAGCCCTTTCCTCCTTGAGGAGGAAGGGGGAGGGACCAGACCCCCCTCCCCTTGTGTCCTTGTGTGGCTCATCAGATCAACAGGATCTCAACCCCCCTACCCCCTCTTTTCACCACTACATGGCAGCTTCCACTTGGTGGGATATGGGGAGAGGTTGTGAGAAATGTCATCAGAGAAAATAACCTGAAAAAAGATGCAGTAAGAGACTGTGCAGCCTTGAGACCTACTATCAGGTAATCAGAGCTGATCCATAAAAGAATGAAAAAGGCTAAAAACTGTGGTAGTGATGATGATGATGATGATTTCCCTTTCCCAATTCTCTGAACATTTGGTTTCATCTTTGTCTTTCACAGAGGATCTGCTACAATCCCTCAGGAGACCCACTTTACCATCCTATCCTATTTCAACCTCCTCACATATTCACACCATCTCAAGGCATCTTCCTTTACCTCTTCCATCACACCACAATTTACACTTTTACCCCTTACTGCCATTCCAAACATCCCATACACTTTGCAATTCTTTATTTTTTTCATAGTTTTAGCCCCAGATTCAGCCCTATAATATGGTGTAATACATTTCTGTAGATTGAAATTTTAAGCTTTTTTTTTATGCCAAATCCATCCTTCTCTACCATGTGTCAAAGCAGAAATTATTGCACAGTTTGCTTCTCTAGGGACTCATTCTGAATACAATTACCTACTTATTTACACTGTCTTACATATCTATATCCTAACAAACAGTAAGGTACTTACTCATTGTGTAAGGCCAGTAATATGCAAGATTCACTATGTCAAACATTATGGACAACAGGTTTGTGCACAAAGCCTGAAAAGAAAGATAAATATTAATCAACTTACAGTCATTATTGAATAATTACAGTAGTTTAAACAAGGCCTTTCCATGACTGCATATCAATCTTACCTGACCATGAAGTAGCCAATATTTATCATTGGTTGTGCATTAGTTGGCTAGGTGGGAAGAACAATACTTTCTTGTCATTATATTCAAGTTTTGTGAACTAACTGACAAACCCTCTGAGGAGTTCCTGTATGTCTCAATACAAAAAAGTTCATTTTAATCTCCAACAAGGGAATGTAGGACTATCTGCTCCCATGGTAAGTACCCAGAGTGCCCCCCCCCCCTGATCATCATCCAAAATAAAACCTGTAATATCTTTTTGTATCACACCAGATTATTTCTTTATCTTATGCCAGATACCTGCAGCTGAAATGAATGGCTACCTAATGACAGGTTTAGCTAAGTTAAGTGATTTCAGGAATGACCCTTGACAGTGTTGGGTTGCATTTGTCCAATATACAGGATGAGCATAAAGTCTTTCCCTAATTACAAACATTTATTACACAAAACATATGCTAGGTACAAACATACAGTTTTTTGCAGCTTAAAATATGCATGAAAAAAATATGAATTCGTCTACACAATGCTACAACATTAATGTTTCTATCTAGAATGGTCTTCGAGATATGATTTTTCATAATCAGGGAAAGACTTTATGCTCACCCTGTACAGTACAGGATAACATCAAACTGGGTCATTAAGCAAATGTAAATACTCTTACAACAAACAACAGAATAGGCATAAATGGTGTTTTCTACACTTAGGACTGGATGCCAAAAACAAAAATAATTCAAAGTATTAAGGACGTGAGGAAAAGATCATTTAGCTCCTGACAAGAGACAAGGGCGCATCCACTTGACTTGGAACAGAAGCTGGAATTGATAACTTGACCTGAAAACTACAGGGTATGGCCCAGCCAAGTGAGGGACATACTTTAGTGCATGTTGGCTAAAGCAAAGGTTAGACTCATTGCCTTCAAGCTCACTTAATGACCAATGACCAATGAATTAGTTCTAACCACTAACTTCAATGGTGAATCTGGGTTCTTAACCTATAGACTAAACTGTTATACTGTACTGTATATGCTAAATGCCCAAGTGATATGTTAAACCATTAAGGCCCTCACTATGAGAAGTTTATTTTTGTACCTCATATTTTGTATACAAATTCCTGTACCTCTACCATGTGTTCAAGGTAAGACATCCAGCAATGCTTCAGTCTATAATAAACAACTATAAGAAGGCTCAAAAAAATTATCAGAAAAAATACGTTTGATTACACAAATTATAGACTAAAGAACATAAATCACCTTAACAGATTGTGTACCCTGCAATAAAGTTTACAACCTCATTTGTTGTATAAAAACACAAGTAAGAAGAAACAACAGTAAAAACACATCTTTATGAGGAACACTTTGGGAACATTTGAAGAAAAACCTTCTGGGGATGGGGGAATGTTGCTAACATCTGCTGGCAGGGATAAAATTAAACTAATAGGGGGGAAGAGACTCACCATAAATGGAGGTTCCTCAGATTCCCGCTGGTGCAGACTCCAGATGATTGTTAGTAGAAAGATGGTGTTGTAAAAAACAAAACTCTCAGGGAGGCTCCCACAAAAGTTGCTCCTGAAAAATTAAGTCACTTTTACCAACACTCATACAATGTCTTATGGTCTTTAATAAAATTGCATGAAGTAAATGATAAGTGACAGAATATATATATACTGTATATATATATACGGGTGTCCCATAAGTTTCCATACAACGTATCACCAACGCCATTACAAGCATAACTCCAGCTGTGCTTGAACGTGTTCTTCAGCAGTGGAGGACACGCATTGAAGAATGTTTTCAACAGAATGGTAGTCATGTAGAGCATATTATATAAATAAAAATGGATTTTCATATAAAATTTATTTTTCCTATGTGTGGAAATTTATGGGACACCTTATATATATATATATATATATATATATATATATATATATATATATATATATATATATATATATATATATATATATATATATATATATATATATATATATATATATATATATATATATATATATATATATATATATATATATATATATATATATATATATATATATATATATATATATATATATATATATTATATTATATTATATTTTTATATATAATAATTATATATTATATATATATATATATATACTGTATATATGAATATTTAATCATACGGGAAATTTTGATGCAAAGGTATGAGAGGGGAGAGCAACACCAGAAATAAGACCACATCAGTCAGATGATAAAAATGAAGAAGGAAATAGTTAGTTGACTTTTGATGAGAAAACAAAATGATCATTGCACATTTATTGTCTCCGCATCAACTAAGGCATCTTTGTATAGGGACATCACTTCAGGATAATGAAAATAATATTGTCAAGAATAAATAAGATTACTGTACATTGTTTCAAGAAAAATCTAATAATTTGGTAACCCAAACTAACACTTACCCAGGGGCAAACTGCGGGTCAGATTGTACCAGTAATGATTTTAGTGAGTGCTAAACTTAGATACAAAAAATTGGATATACAGGTTGTACCTCTCTAGCCCGGCATTCTGTGGTCCGGAAACTCCAGTGGTCCGGAACGATTTTAGTTTGTCCAATAGGTAGATAGGCAGGTTTTTTTTTTTTATCTGAATTATTATTATTATTACAGAGTATTAAATTTTGCCCCTCAGGCCCCAATGTGGGTCAGTGACCTATGCCCGGTGGGCTAATCCCGTAAAAAAAAAAAAACTTGGAAATTAAGGTTTGTTTATGTCCGCAGTTCGGCTGCTCTTTCTCTCTCTCTCTGCTTGTCTATACAGAGTACAACATTTAACCCTTCAATATATATGAGCAGTAAATAAGTGTTGCTTTCATATTCTTATGTAGAGTAATGATATGTTTTCACATGTGCACACTTACATGCTCGCACTCTTTTTTACCATTAATGGTTAGCTACTTATATTGTTCCATTTATTAACATTAAATAACATTACAGGTACTTCAAACAACCATATTAATTTGCTTACATTAATTTTACTACAGCTAAAATCAGGGTCTTATTTTCTTCAGTTTTATATGTAGAATCAGTCAGTCACTGGTTTTGTAATCACTTGAAAAACAATGCTGTGTCATTTCCTCGTGTGTTTTAATATTCTACATATTATTAATGAATTGTATTGCTCATTTTGCACACATAAACATTAATTCAATAAAAAAGACATTCAGTAAAAACAATAATGAATCTTTTGTACATAAGAAAGGCGCTGTTTACACTATTATGCACGTCGTCTGCCGTTGGCGGCCATTCAAACCCGTCGAAATTCAAGTTTCTGCGACAAAATTTGTATTTATTTATTTTTTGTGTGTTCCAATAAAATCGTTAGTATATTAAAAACTCGCGAAATTTGACAAGCTACTATACGACATTTAACCCTTCAATATGTCTTCAAAGAAACCATGATGCAGAGAAAGTGGTGCTAGTGCTTCCAAGCATAAGCACAAGTCACTATCTATCCAGGAAAAGGGTGAATTTCCATGGTCCGGCACCGGTCAGGTCCCGAGGTTGCCGGACTAGAGAGGTACAACCTGTACTTTATAGTGGTTATTTACCACTTTGTTTGCTGCTTATATCTTAACTACTGTACGTATTGTACTATCACCAGCGCCATAATAAATGAAGAAAAACCCTGAGGATCAGCCACTGCGGTGTAATATTCAGCAATTTATTAGGTGGTGGCTGCTTGCAAAAGTACAATGGTGTTTTCAGATGTTGGACAAATAACCAGATGGTAGATGAAGGGTAGTTTTCCTAATATATGGTTTTCTTTATTACAATTTAGCATAAGTGAAGATCTACTGTAATAATTATTGCACATCAGTAAACTCCATATATTACAGTACCAAGAAATATTCATGACCAGTGTAATACAGAGCAGCCTTAGGAAGTATTTTCAATAAATATTGGCCCACAGACTCATCAAGGTGAACTTTTCACATTCATGAAAAATAAGAATCAAGAAAGAATTGGATTATGAATAAATATAAAAATACAAGAGCAGCAGCATACAAGAGAAACGTTGGCAGAGGAGTGAGTCAGTTTACTGATAGACTCACCTTTGTCAAAATTATTATATGCTTTACTGTAAACAAATAGCAAAAAATATTTCCTTTTGATGATGGTAATAATCCATATGGTGAGACCATGATGACTAACAGTATAAAATAATGTATAATTCACAGAAAAACAGAGGAAAAAAGGAAGAAATTATGTCACAATGACTGCTACATGCATGCTGTGCTGTATGTGCTACCTGAGCCATGTGGTGGGAAACAGTGAAACACACAACTACTAAGAACATGCAACTCAAAACATTCATTATTTATTTCGAATGCTGTAGAAGCTAATTTTTCCCACATCCTTAAGAAATGGAGGTTTAATCCTCAGATCTTTTTTGCTTGCCTAGTCCATATTCAACAGCCTACTTTAATAGGGAGAAATTTACTAGGGCTCCCTTGAGCTCTTTGGCTGAGCCCTTAGGCCCAAATTCAGAATGGTAGTTTGACCCTGGAATCTGAGCTTGGCTCAGGCGTGCAAATCGAGTTCCTCGATCCGAGGTTTTCTGCAGTGCATTACCCATACTCAGAACACCGGCTTGAACCCAGGACGGGGTAATCTGTTGCATTTTCTTCAATTCCAAGCAAGGATTCGAACACTGAAATTCCAGCCAATCACGTTTCAGTTGCACCATTACAACAGCCAATCACCATCAACAAGTTTTTATGGAGGAGGAGAAATCTCTCCTTGCACATCATTAGTTGCTTTTGTCACTATAATTACAATCAAATTATGATCACATTATAATGATTTATGGTACAGGTACCGTGTTACAACCTGGCTGTGTTGTTATATGGTAAAGAAATTCAAAACAATTACATACATATTGGAGATATAGTTCTGCATAATCCAGGACAGGTGTCAATAATCAAAACCAAAGCAGGATGAATCAATGAAGGGTGTAGTAACCTGGCAAGGTTCGGTTAGATTTCTTTCTGTTCTATTAACCCCACTTTCCTTTATTAACACATTAAAATCAAAACGCACGCAGCATTGATTCAATTATATTGAAAATACATCAAAATATTTTCCTGAAAACACTCAACATAAAGAAGCATCAGCGTTCTTTACATTTACCCGCTTGATCCTCATGGACCCTAAAGCAAAGTGTTGTAACACATTACCATAACTCATTCAGTAACCAGCATCTTTCTTACCTGGAAACTCTTCATTGCGAAGAATCTCAAAGCAATCATCAGCTGATGAATGGGAGGTTGAGGTGAACCAGCAACAGGTCTGTCAAGTAGATGCTCCATATCATGGAAAATATTAAGGAAATCTCCCTTGCTGAACCTATATGGTTGTCTGAATTGTGTCATCATAAAAACTTATAGGATTTTGCCTATCTTTATCAGTCTTCTCTTACAAAAATTTCCAATCTGATGATATCGCCAAAAAGCGCGTGCTGTCAAAATTCATACCGACTTGCTATCTCGAATGACTGGATTAATGCGAGGATCGACAAATCCGATCTCAAACCCGGTTTGAATCTTTGTTGGCTCAAGCCAGCATTCTGAATACCGAAAATCTTTAGTCTTTGTGTGATCCTTTGCTTAGACCTTCATGTGGTTTCAAACTAGAGTTCTGAATTCAGACCTTAAGGTCTACCAGGGGTGATCTGTCAATTCTTATCTAACCCTGTCTTCAAACTCTGCACAGCACACCTCAAATATGCTGATGTTGCCCTCCTCCACTGGGAAAGAGTTGGGGTAAAGGTTGGAAGTCTGCTTTGAACCAGTGTCTGGCTAACCAGTAACCACCATACCACAGAGCTGGCCCCATCCTTCGTTTACTCAAGGTTTGATCACAAAAAAAAAATAATAATAATAATAATAATATTAATAATAAAAAAATAATAATTACAGCGCAAACACACACACTAGTCTCGTTTTTCACCGATCAATTAAACCATGGAGGTCGGCGATATACTAAAAGCGTAGCTAAAATAACAGAACATATGGGATTAATTGAAATAGAGACTGGCCGACCCCCAGACTACCTTTTTCCGACTGTCGTATGTTGTAGTAAAAATAACATCTTAATTTTATGATGGTATGCACACACAATTAATATATAAGAGAAATATCAATAATATTTGTTTTTTTAACACTTACGTTAGTAAAAGAGATGGCGGGGCACACGGGGATAACCGTTGCGAGGCAGAGGGCAGATTATTGGCCCTCACCTGTATTACTTGTATCACCTGTATCACTATCCACCACAGAGGCTAGCAGGGCCTCCTTGTCAAAACCCTCAAAGTCCATATCCTCACTATCACTATCACAAAAAACAAAACAGGTTCCTGGGCACGAGAGAGTATACATGGACACGGGAGACAATGGGACTGACGCAGTCAAGGTCATCGACTCATCGCCCCTGGTGGCAGGGCAAGCAAAGTTAAATAGACCAATCACAGCTCACGGCAGGGGGGGATGCGTGGGTGGTAAGGATACGTGGCCCAATCACATTGAAACA